GCTGGGATGGAAATAGAGCCAGAAAATGATGGGAGGGTATGTGAAAGTCCCCCCTCCTGCCCCCCGCCCAGCTCTTTGAACATATTTGTTTTCTTCTAGAAACTTGGCTGGCAGTAGCAAGGGTTACAAAAGTGGAACATGTAAGGGGCTAGGCCAGCAATCTGGATCTTTTCAGTGGAAAATACTCCTGGGTATCTTAACAGGACTCCTCCAACTCCAGCATGACTGTATTTGTAACAACCATTTTCAAACTTTAATCAGCATAAGAATCAGCTAGGGAGTTAATCAGTAGTGTAGATATCCAAGACTCACCCCCAAGATAGTCTGGTTCCTTGTGTCTGGAGTAAGAGCCCAAGAACCAGCGTTTTTAATAAGAAGCCTCCTGCCATTCTGATGCACTAGTTGCCAGACCACATGTCCGGGAAACACAGTGGCAAGACCTCTTTGGTAGCCTTTGTGAGATCTCTGGGCAGCCACCTAAGTTGCTCTCCTAAGCCCAATACTCACCTCTCTTCTACAGCTAGGTGCATAGGACACCTCTCCCTGCACGCCCACTTCCCATCGACAGTTAACTGTACTCAGGCAATTGTGAATATCAGTGCATCCACAAGACATCTCAAAACAGGTATCTGGGAACCAGTGGAAATAAATAATGGCAAAGACAACTTCTGGACTTGCTTTTGACACCCTAAAGTACTTAATTGTCAGTCCCACATAACATAAGCCTTGCTTATAAAACGCCTCACCTGTTTGCCATTTCTTGTGTTTTTTGTTTCTCAAATAAGCTGTAACTTCTTGGAAAGAGGCCCCAGATTTAACTTTTTTTTAAACTTTTTTTCTCCTATCTACCACACAGCATGTACTATATAACTGGCTTTCAATGGAAGATGAGAGTTTCTGCCTCCTAATCAGATTACTTCCAAAAGTTCATTCTTCAGTCAGTGATTTGGATCTTGCTGCTCATTAGGACAACATTATAAAAGGTAGTTATGTTCCCAGATCAGCCCCCGAATGTCTATTTAACTAGCAATGTGGCTGAACTCTAGTTCTAATAGTACTACAGAACCTAAAATCATCTATAAGATTGCTTTTATGGGAAAATTTGTTCCAGATTCCAATTGAAGATGCCAGGAACTCATTTTTCTGGCCACAGTTCCAGGACAGGACTTGACCCATGTGCAGTTAGAAATCTACTTTCACACACACACACACACACACACACAGAGAGAGAGAGAGAGAGAGAGAGAGAGAGAGAGAGAGAGAGAGAGAGAGGCTTCTTGAGGGATGTTCCATAGATGAGGAGGGAATGGTGTAAGGTCCAGTGTGCTCCTCTCAGAAATGCTTTCACTAGGTCTGGAAGAGTCAAGAAAAGGGATCTGGAAGAAAGTGTATTTCAGAGAGACGGGGTCAGGCAGTGTCCTGGAGGGAGTGTGGAGAGGTTGCAAGGGCACTGGCTCTCTTGGCTGCAGTTGCAGGAGCCATCTGGGGCTGTCTGGGCAGTCACAGCAATGACTGGCCTTGTTGGCTAGGGCCCATCACAAGCCTGTAGCTAGCTAGCTAGATATAGATATAGATAGATAGATTAGGAGATAATGGTTCTGTTATTTATTGCTGGATAACAAATCACCTAAAATAGGGTGGTTTATAAAAAAAAAAAAACCAACCATTTGATTTGCTCATAATCATACCATATGGTTTTACTATGGGCATTGTGTGGCTGTGTTCAGCTCACAAGAGGATTTGGATCTGGATTATGCTGGATGCTGGGACCTCTCTCTTTATGTACTCTTAAAACCTTTCTCTTTGACCTCTCCACTCAACTTCTCCAGTGGAGCATCTAGATGCTTTACATAGCAGCTCAAGATATTCATGAAACAAACATAGAAATTTCTAGAACTCATAAAGCTTGGCTGACCACTGAGATGGTTCCACTTCTGCTTAAAGTGATGTCAGGACAGTCCAGATTCAAGTGAAGGGACTAATTAAAAGTATGAATTCCAGGAGGTTTGGGCCACTGGAGGCCACTAAGGTAACAGACCGCCTTGGTTAGTGAACTTCTGTAGTGGAAGTGGTTCTGAGGCCAATCGTACCTCTGGATCATTATAAGCAATGAAGTGAAGATTCTTTGTTATGACATCATAACCATATAATCCTAGAAAAAACCTACAAATAATTTCTTATAATTTGTTTTCAATTCTAAATGTTAGTCTGCAAAATGCACCTAATCACTTTTCCTTTATAATTTCTCAGCCTATACTCTCCCCCCAATGGCATAGACCCCTATTTTATGTGGTATTTCTGGTCTTAATGTCCTACCTTATATAGAGCTCCTGGTCATAGAGTCATAGCACTTGGGTATATTACAGTGGATTTTTGAGGTGCATTCAGACAATGGCACATAAATTCACAAAGTTTTCAAGTGTTTATTATTTTAAAAAGTCTGACTAATGTAGATTCAAGATTGGCCCTAGAATAATAATTCCTCTCAGATTCACGTTTTAGAGGCAGAGAAAGAGGTAGAGCTGGTGAGAGTGCTTTGGGAATTATGTGTAACCTATTATAGTAGAAACAGACCTGGCTGCTACCCCCAGTTTCCTCTCTCTTTCTAATACAATGTTTGTTTGATTGATAGTGGCAATGTGCCCAGCCTCTCTCTTTCATCTAACTATGGCAGTTATGTCTAAGTTCTGCCTAATGAAATAGAAGGGTTCATGGTGTCTTAGACCTACAGAAAGTTTGCTTAAAAGAAACTGACTTAACTGGAAAGGGATCTTTAGGTCATGGTTTGAATTTCTTCTTCCTGTTATCTACACTGTGGATGAATAGCTGGTTCTTCTCTTCGAGGTGACTTTTTAGGGTCAAAGTCACACTTTGGAAAGTAGGATGTAAAAACAGATAGATTCTGGATTAGTGATGACCATAAAGCTTTATTCTAACACTGGACTCTAGAAATTGAGATCAAAATCAAAATCAAGATGTAGGTGGAGAGATTCTTCATGTTTTAAGTTGTTGTTATTTGGGGTTTCCAACTATAATTAATTCTATATTATGTACTTGGTCCTACCCAGAGGATTCTCACCTGGACTATCACCCTGCATCTCTGTGTGGTCAATCAATCCTTGATAGATTGAGGAAGTGCTGCCTCTGGACTAAACAATGCCATTCTCCGTCCCTAGGCCTTCCCATTCCTTTACTAAAGATCCTTTTCACCTGCACTATTTTCTTTATCTGGTTTCTTTCCATATGTATCCCCACTGACTAGCATAGCACCTGACACAGAGTATAAGATTAATCGATATTTGTTGAATGAATGAATGAACTTCTGATCTCCCCTGTGGATCTGTGCATACTCCAGAATGCCTTTCCTCTTTCCCATCCACTATGACATTTCTCTTTTTGCAGTTCAGCTTGTGTTCACCAACCCCAGGACTGAGCCATGTGAACTTAGTGAGCAAAGCCCTGTTAGTACCCATGAGCAATGCTTGCTGAGAGGCTCATGTGTTTGCTCTTTATGGAGTTGTTTTACTGGGGTTCTATAAGAGGGAGGCCATAGCCTCAAGATAGAAGGAGCCATTCACTGCAACCTGGTCATTCTCCTCAAAAAGCAGAGGGAGCCTGTGATTTGAGTCAGGACAGTAGTATGCAAGGGTGGGAGGGGCTGGCTGCCAACCCAGGTAACTAGGGAAGAAGGATCCTCCAGCCTTGCAAATGCAGCAGAGACGGAAATGGGGAAGCGACCCCCAGAAAGCAGAAAACTAAATGACAACCTGTCTGTGGCATTTTCAGCTGAGAAGCAAGAAAACTAATTTATGTTCTCGTGGAGTTGCTGGCCCACCCAGGTAGGCGTCTGTAATGGGGCCATTCACCTGGTTTTGTCCATTCATCATGCATATCTTCATTTTGTGGTCAAGTGGCCCTTTAACTTTGGTATCTTCTTATATTTATTCCTATAGATTTCCCCTCCTTTATTTCTTATTGATTTCACTCAAGATATTTTATTTCCATTATTTTAATTGTAAATTAAATATTCAACATATTGAACATATCAACTCAAATAAGACTGATAGTTCCTCACTCCTTCCTTTTTTTTTCACTTAAGACTCTAAAAACGACAAAAAGGATTGATGAGAGTGAATAGACAAATACTCTGTATTAAGAGCCATTAAAATACAGATATTTATTGCATACGATTAATTTAAAGGTATATTCCAAGCTTTCTATCATTCCTGATTCTTTTCTTACTGAGGTGCAGAGGCAGCATGTAATCTGTGGGGTTAAGGGGGCCATCTCCACGTGCGTGGGGCTAGTCTATAGTCTCTAATGTTCTGTGGTGATACTTCATTGTTTTCATTATTAAATTTTATTTTTGGTTTTATAATTTGTCCAACTGCAGACTTTGAAGACTGTCTTTATGAGTTGATTTCTATGGAAGATTCTGTTTCCCTCTACCATGTTCTGCAAACTATTGACTTTCACTCTGGAATACAGCAGCCCTGTTTCTCTAAATTAAGGGCTCGTGATTATTTTTTGTCAAAACCAGAAACCTCTGTCCTAGTCTCATTATCAAGCTCAGCTCATGGGATGAGTCCTTTAAATACCATTGGTTGGAAAGAGGCTCATTCTGATTGAACTTTGAACCAAAAAGGGAGCAACGCAAAAGTCTAAAGTCTAGTCTCATGAGGAAGAGAATGAAAAAACCCAGGATGTGTGTGTATGTGTGTGTGTGTGTGTGTGTGTGTAAAAGAAATTATTCCTTTTAAAAAGTTTTCCGTACTCACCACTGTTTCTTATACCACATCATGGATGACCTTTGGCTTTCCCATGATATTAATGTGTCCTACAGATGCATGTTTTTCTTTTTTTTTAATATTGTGGTTCAGTTCATGGTGCATATTTCTCTAATGTCCATCCCTGGGAGTATTATATAAAGTTTCAAGTAATTAGAAATGTAACCCTCACTAATTCAATTGTCTGTTATATAACACAGAGCTACACGCAAACAATGTTTAAAAGCGAATTTTATGGTGATGGTAACTTATCAGAAACCTCAGAGACAGATACTGAGCTGGCCTTCAAATAAAGATGGAGGTTTGGGTATAGAGTTTCTTCCTTCTGAAGATGTAAGCATTCTGGAAACAGATGGAAACATAGTAAAAAAAAAAATCATTTGGTCACACTTTCCGAGGGATTAACTGAACTAGAAGAGAGCATAAACATCTCACACAGATTCGTGATGCTGCTGGTGGTGACAGCAATCTCAACCTTTTGCTTCAAGGGATCTGAAATTTTCTTGAAAGTAAACACATCTGGATTGGAAGCTAACCATGTAAATAAGACCTCGTCCCACGCTTCTGTCTGAAAAGAAATATAAAGGGGTTGCTTGAGATTTTCTGAGCAGGTCTGAAATAAGTTGAACATCTTCATCTTTTCCTTTCTTTTGCCTTTTTTTGTTTATTTGATTTCTTTTCATAGGAATCTGCATCATTGCTGCAACGTGTGCAGAAACACAGCCCTCAGGTCTAAACACCTACTTCTCATGTCATCCAGTTGGAGCTGGGAAACAAATGCCAAACATAAATCCCTGCGTGGTGAATGTCTCCTTGTCAATATGGATTTGGCACGGACCCAGTCTTGGACTTGAGGTGGTGGGTGATTTTTTGGGGTTATAACCCCCCACAAAGCCTCACTACCTACACCTTGAATCTCTGCTCTAACCTGCTAAGAGATTCAGAAACATAGGCCTTGGGCCTTGTTGAATTTTGGAAAGCTTTAGAAATTATAATCAAACATTTAAAACCCAAACCCAAACCTCTCAACAATACCCCGTGTCATTAGTGTGAGAAGTGGAATAGTTTTCTGTGTGCTGGCACAGATGGTTTTTTTTACATATTTAATTTTAGTTTCTTTTTAGCCTGCTGTCCAAAGATTAACTAGCTTTCAAATATGATTTTCTCCAGGGGCCCTTCAACATTTTGAAACACTTAGAATAAATATCTGCAGTGTGGAAGGCTGTGAGAGGAGAAGGACAATAGTTGTAATGTGTCCTCTCTAACAGGTTGTCACTTTCCCAAGAAAACCAGTCTCAAAGAGGCCAGATACTTTTTTCTCTATGGTGACTTTTTGAAGGGACTAAGACTGTCATCATTGAATTATTATTCCCAGGGACTAAAGTTTAGCAAAATATTTTTTTTAAAAAAGAAATTTGTTTTCAGGGTAAGTTTTGCAACATTTAAACAACATTATTTAGCATCAAATCCCCTTTAGAGATGGAAGGTGACTTCATCAGCAACACATGGAGACTTAAGCCCAGTGCATTGCTCCAGAGAATATGGATCATGCTCTTGGCTTCCTAGCAGTGATCTAATTTTCATGGCTGTACTAAGACACACAATACAATAAAAGGATTTGAAGATCCTTGTTTATTTCATATTGGGAAAGCACTTCAATTTATGGTCATGTACTTAATCAAAATGTTTTACCTTACTGTGAGGGACTCTAATTTCATTTCCAAGAAATATCTGAAAATCTCCATCAAATGAAAAAGTCAGGATTATCTCGGTAAATTCTAGACCTGGTCTCCTGCTGGAAGAAACTACAGTGCTACCCTTTGTGACACTGGTCCTGGTGAAGCAAACCGAGGGCCATGTTGCAGAAAGTTAGATTCTAGAGCAATAGTTCTCAACTTTGAGCATGCCTCAAGATCACCCACATGGCTTGTAAAAACAGACTTGTGAACCCACTCCTGGAGTTTCTGACTCAGTAGGTCTAGAGTGGAATATCAGCTGGTGTGTTGGTCCAGCGACCACACTTTGAGAACCACTGGCCTAAAGTCTGGCCTGTCAATGGTCAAATGAAACAGACTGGAAAAAGGTTAGATCCTAAAATTAAATATACCAAGGGAGTAAGGGGACAGAAGGAGGGAGGTCAGGTTTGTAAAAAGTGAGTTTGCAGGAAGTCTGAAAAGAGGGCCAATTAGCTATGTATCCGCCAGAACATCCCAGTCCAATGATGATAGAATACAAGGGCAAGAAATTCCTAAAAGTCAGATGTGTTTTTAGCATCACAATCGTCAAGGCTCAGGTCAGTGAGCTGGGTTCAAAAAAAGGCTCCAAACCTGTGGGGATAACTTTTAAGAGCATTGCAAGGCCTGAAAGGGACATGGAAAGACCAAGCTGGTCATTAAAAAAAAAAAAAATCAATATATTGCTGCTATAATTTTGCTGCTATAATAGATAAACCCACTCAAGTCATAGTCACTAACCCAGTAAGAGTTCATCTCTTGTTTATATAAATTTCAAATCAGGTATTCTTGACTGATCAGCAACTCTCCTTAAGGGGTGATCAGCACCCAGGCTCTTTTCAACTTACCACTCTGACATCATCAAATATGACTGTCAAGGTCACTGACAAGTGGGAAAATCACAGAGGATTCTACTATGTAGCAAATGTTTAATGGGCCAGGCCTGGAGGGATCTCATATAGCTTCTGCCCCAAATCCACTGGTCTGGAGTCGATTACATGGCTATATGAATTGAGCAAATCTAGCTGGGTATTCAGAAAAAAAGAAATAGTTTGGGTGGCCAGCCAACCAGTCTCTGCCACACTCAGATAAAGAAGAGAAAGGCAGCATTACAGATAATAGGATCCTGTCAAAGAGGAAGGTTCACTCACCCAGAGGCGCTCCAGCTGTGGATGCTCCCTAATTCAGCCCGTCTTGTCATTGCACTGATCGTCCTGTAGGTGGGGAGCAAAGAGGGAGGCAGGACTGTGAGCCAGGCAGAGCCCAGGGACCAGCTAAGGATTACCAGCTTTTCCAGAGTATACTTGAGGGAGTTGTGCTCTTTTTCTGAACTAAAACCACCCGTCTAAAAATACCACATCAAGGAGCGCAGTCAAGTCCTGCAGCTGTAAAAGGAGATGAATGTTTTCTCCATCTAATATCTTTTGGATGAACCCATTCAAAATATCCTGGATGGAGGAGTTCCTATTTCTAATGCACATTTTTTTTTTTTTTTGCTTTGGATGCATTTTTAGAATTCTGCTGCAATGTTTGTAAATGTTAATTGAGAAAGGCTACTGCTGGTCTTCTTTTTAACACTTTTAGGGACAATCCTTAAGGTTTTTAATGGTCTGAGAGACTAAGAACTGTTGACTTTGGGGAAAATGAAGACAGAGTGGGAATAAACACACACACACACACACACACACACACACGTGCACACACACACAATCTGAAAGTAGCTTGATCAGTGTCTCAATTACCCCTCTCTCCCTGCTCAGGAGAATTCTGCTTCCTGTTTCTTTCATTTGCCTTGAAAAAATGATTTAACATCTAGAAGTCTGTTACTCAAAAGCATGCAAACCACAAAATGATGCTAAAAGATTTTCTTTTTTAAAGAATCAACCATTTAAAAAGAGAGCCATACCACTGAAATATTTGAGGCATGAGTCAATGTCGTGCACAGGATGATGGGGTGATCCACAGTCCAGGTCAGCAGGGTTAGCAGGATCCTAGATATATCTGTGGTGATGTCACAGTAGTCTTGTTGGTTATTCATAAGCCTTCATTTTTTTTATTTTTTAGATTTTTTGTTGTTCATTATTTGCAGCTGTTCACACTTGACAAAGGAATAATAACTAGTTTGAAGTATTTATTTACAGTCATGTAAAAACATTACATAAAAACATCTTTGTAAAATCGTAGTGTTCTTTTGAAGTTCTACCTTCAGAAATATCTTTAATAGCTATTAAGTAAGACCTCAGTCCTTCTGGATAAGAAATATTCTGAGATACTTGAAAGTGAGTAGAGTAAGTGACAAAATAACCTTCCAGACTTGTCAAAGAGCAAAAGGAGAGCTTACATACACCTTAGCTGTCCACATAGAAAAATGAGGGGTGCTGGAAGTTTTGTGTCTGACCAGCATGGCAACTCTCAACCCCATCACCCAGGGATCTTGTAGAAAAATATCTGGGGTCCCTAAATCTCTGAGGTGGTTATGTTTTTACTCTGAGAACCACTGGCCCAGGAGATTCTCCTGCTTGCCATATTTTGTTCAATTGAACTGTAGATGAGATCGGAAGGAGGAAATGCTCAATAGAGGACAAGGAAAACATTCTAGGAGAAGAGATGGTGGAAGAGGAGAGTTCCATTGGCCTTTCTAGTCCTGCACACTGGAGGGCTTCCCCCTCAGCCCCGAGCACAGTACTATCAGCTGGTGTGGCCCTAAGAAGATCTCAAGGGTCTCAGCTGTCAGGAACCATCATGTGTTCCCAGTCTTCTGTAGTTACATGTCAGGTCCTGCCTCCTCTCCACATGGGGACTGGCTCCAACCCCAGAGTTTCTGCTGGCTTTAAGCTCAGTAGCATTCATTCATGTATTTATTTACACCATAAGCATATCCACTTCTCTATGCTAGGCACTGGTGGCTTATTTGGTACGTGGCCTGGGCTGGATAGAGAAGAAACCAGATTCAAAATCCTACACTGGAGCCCTGAGGTTATGGGGCCACCTCCCAATGAGGCTTGGGGATTACTGTCATTGTCAGAGACTGATTTCCAGGGTGGGGCCTGCTGATGGGCTGTGACAAGCTCACTCACTGCATCCGTGCTCAGCATGGGAGCGGTATCAGGCTAATAGCAGCCAGTGTCACTCAGGGATTAGAATCTTCACGAGTTAGAATAATAGCTAGACAGCTCCACTTAGATGCTAACGCTTTCCTCTGGACCGTGAATTTAAAGGAAGGAAGGAACTTGGCTTAATTTCTTGTCATGGAGTCTCTCTATTAGACCAGGTAGAGGGGATTTCTCCAGGATACTCTCATTTCTATTGATGAAGAGGGCTCCATCCAAAAGACACATCAATCAACGAGGGCACACTGTGTGGCCAATCACAGGAAGAATAACTCCAACTTCTCCCTCTGAGTGTGCCATAGGGTAGTTTTATGATTACCACAGCCCACAGGTAATACCTGCCTTTCCACACTTCCAGAGCAAAGTTGTCCCAACTTTGTGGAGAAGTTCAAACTTCTGTGAGAAAGCCCTAGTTATATAAGTATGTGGAATTTCTAGCCCAGGATCCAGGAATGGTAGTCCCATCTTCTAGAAAAAGAAATGCTTATCTCGTGTCTCTTAATCCATTTGTTCTGCTATAACACAGATACCACAGACTGGGGGATTTATAAAGAACATAAATTTCTTTCTCATGGTTCTGGAGGCTAGGAAGTCCAAATCAGGGTGCTGACAACTGGCAAGAGCTTTCTTGCTGTGTCCTCACAGAGTAGAGGGCGGAAGGGCAAGAGAGAACAAACCTCCTTTGTCAATCCCCTTCTGAAGGGGTTCTAATTCCACTCCCCTGGGAGGAGCCTCATGACCTAATCACTTCTTCCAGGCTCCGCCTCTTACTCCTAACACACTGGAAACACTGAGACTTCAGAGTGGATCCTTTCAAACCATGGCATTTCATGATCAAATTTCCACATCAGTATCTATAACCAGAGCACAAAGCACATTTTGCTTTCAACTTCTTGGGCCATTCTCTGGCCCCTGTCTAAGAATCAACAAAAACAATGAATTCTTGACAGTGAGGATCTCTGAGTCATGCTAACCACCCATTCCTCTCAGCCCCCTGAGCTCTGTCTGTATGTCAGGATAAATCACCAGAAAGCTATGGTCTGGACCACATTAGCTAAACTCCCCAAAGATATATCTTTGCTGAGTTATGATTTAATAAACAGCTTACCCTGAGTGTTTACTACAGGTCAGCATAAGAGATGGTTATAAGAAAATCATTTCTATATCTTTTGTGAGCCACTTTTCAGTCTGTATTGTCATTTAGATAAAATTCAATCCAATAAAAACCTCCAAGAATTTATTGCCAGGAGAAAATAAGTCCCTACCAAAGATCTTACAAGATTCCTTTATCAAACCCTGAAAACTATAAAGCTTTACACATTTCCTCATTTCCTTTGATTGCTATGAGGCATACAGTTCAATTTAGTGTTCAGTGGATCAGTTCTCTGAACCCAGGTCTCTAATGTGCGAATCTCCTCTCCCTTCTAATTTCTAGTCTTTGACCTATTTGGGTCCTTATTTTTCTAATTCATGTGCCTTCTTTTGTAAAGTGTTTATTTTGGAAATTTCCTAAGGCTTCCAAACCTCACTACTTTATGTTCCTAACTCCTAGGCTCTCAGGTGGATCTCTTGTCAAAGGAATATCCTCAGAGAGCAGGATGCACATTGTGTATATGTTAATAATGTTTGGGACCTCCCACAAGGATCCGAGCCCAGGAAGCAGGCTGCAGTGGGGTGTGCTAAGCACTTTGAGAAAATTGTAATTTGAATAGGGAGGCTGAGAAACTGGTGTGATAAGAGATGAGAATCCAAAAGACAAATTTGTAATCAGGTATCAGTTAAAATCATCACCTCTAACTTGGAATATATAAACTACATATATCCATGTCTTCTAAAAGTTAGATTTGCTGAAATGTCCTTATATTTCAAAGTCACTCAAAACATACTTATTACCGGTTCTTTAAAAATTTTTTTCTGCTCATTAATAAATCTAAAGGAAGAGGAAGAGCTATGAATAACTTTGACAAATGTGATGCCAAATCCACTGGTTTTTGAATAATCCTAGATGGCCTTCTGAACTGGGGCCCAGTGGACACATGCAGGCCCATCTCTGTTTCTAGTAACACACAGTCCTTTCTGCAAGGATGTTAATTGCTGCAGATGTGTGAAGTCAGAAAGACGGAGGCCCTGTAGCTTTCTATATCTGAACCACCCATGGATAAAATGGAGGAAGGAAAAAGGAAGAACAAATAACCTGCTAAATACCTGCAAGCCTTGGGCAGTAAAGCAAAGCAGAAGGAAAACCTTTCCCCTGGGCTAAAGGCAGTTTACAAGTGGTAATTTCAGCTGGAAGGAATGCTGTTTGATGAGAGGTGGATAAAATAGAGCAGCAGAGAAGGGCAAGAGCCCAGGAAACCAAGAGCAGAGGTCAGAGATTGGGGGGTTGCAGATAAAATGAAACAGGGAAGAGAGAGGTAATTGCCAAAGGAAAGGAGGTGCTGAATAGAGATATTTGGTGTTTTTCTTTTTAAGTCATAAACGATTAATACATATGACCCAGGCAGGTGACACCAAGAAAGAGACCCCTAAAAGAATGAGCAGGTGGGTGTGCATTAGGAACAGCTCTTTAAAACTCAATCGGTAAAGTTCATCTTGCCAAGCTATAAAACTACTTGAATGTGTAGGTTTTGACTTTAGACCTGTGTACGTGTCTCTGCACAACACAAGGCAGTCTTCAGGTTGAAAGAAGACAGAATTATAAATTGGGATCAGGAATAGTTTTTACATCAAAACAGTCTCACAAAATGGCATTTTGATTAGGTAAGTATAAGTTAATAAAAAACACATGCACATAGATGCTTTTAAAGAACTAAAAACCTTCTGCACAACAAAGGGAACAATCAACAAACTGAAATGAAAATCTACAGATAGGGAGAAAACATTTGTGAACCATATATCTCATTAGAGGTTAATGTCAAAACACGATTTCACACTTATCAATAGCAGTAAAATAAAAAGAAAAGAATAACTTGATTAAAATATGACCAAAGGACCCAAATAGTTACTTAGTCAAAGTCATAAAAATGGCCAACAGGTATGTGAAAAGGTATTCAAGGCCACTGACCATAAGGGAAATGCAAATCCAAACCACAGTGAGTCATTTTTTCCCTCTAGTAAGAATGGCTGTTATCAAAAAGATGAAAGATAACAGGTTCTGGCAAAGGAATGAATAAAAAGGACTCTTGTGCATTATTGATGGGAATGTAGATTGGTACAACCATTGTAGAACACAGTATGGAGTTTCCTGAGTAGGTTAAAAATAGAACTATCATATGACCCAGCAATCTATCTAGTGGGTACATACCCGTAGGAAACAAAATCACTACCTTGTGAAGACATCAGCTTATCATTGCAGCAGATATATAGTAGCCAAGATATAGGAATTACTTCAGAGTCCATTAATGGATGAATGGATAAAGAAATTGTGATGAAATATTATTCAGCCTTAACAAAGGAGATGCTACCATTTGCAATAAAATTAATGAATCTAAAGAACTTTAAAAATACTGCATGGTCTCACTTATATGTGAAGTTTAAAAAAAAATTTAGTATACAGAAACAGAAAGTAAAATGCTGGTTATACCAGAGGAAGAGAAATGGGAAGATACAGATCAAAAGGGTGGAAAGTTGCAGTTATGATAGATAAGTTTAGAGATCTGATGCACAACTTTGGGACTATAATTAATAATTTGCCAAGAGAGTAGACTCTTATCACAAAAAAAAAGAAAGAAAGGAAGGAAAGAAGAGAGGGAGAAAGATATTGAGAGAAAGGAGAGAGGAAAGGTGGGAGACCATAGAGGTGATGGGTTTGTTAATTTGCTTGTCGGTACTGTTACGCTTCACCATGCACAGTCATGTACCACACACACAGTGCCGAGTGGGTCAATAACAGACCCCTTTTGCAATGTTGGTCCCAAGAGATGACAGATCCTATTCCCTAGTAATGTCACCCCATCAAGATGTTGTAGAACAATGCATTCCTCACATGTTTGTGGTGATACTGGTGTGAACATACTATGCTGAAGAGCATATAAAAGCATGGCATACAAATATGTATAGTGCGTAACACTGGACAGTGTTAATGAAGGACTATGCCACTGATGTATGTAGTTACAATATTATACTTTTCTTGGTGTTTTAGAGTGTACTCTTTCTACTTATGAGAAATGTTGACTAAAACAGTGTGCAGGGCTATACTGCCACCCGCCTCATACATCTCATTTCCTAACTCTCTTGATTGCATCAAGAAGACACTTCACGTGGTTAACCCTATGTGTTAGCTTTCCATTACTGTAACAAATGGCTGAGATCATCAACTTGTAAAGAGAAAAGGTCTGTTTTGACTCATGGTCTTGGGGTTTTCAGTCCATGATTGATGGGCCCTATGGCTTTGGGTCTGTGGTGAGAGAGCACATCATAGCAGGGAGCACGTGGCAAAGCAAAGTCACTCTCGTAATGGCCAAGAAGCAAAAGAGAGGAAGAAGAAGGGGCTAGGTTCCAAAATCCCTTCAAGATCATGGCTGCAGTGACTGGAAGATCTCAAAATCCTCCTTTGTCATTCACATGGCAGAATTTTAACCTGTCTCAGTTTCCATGTTTTGTTATTTCTTTTTCACTGAATGACTCTAACCTGGGCCTGAAAATTTTCCAACACCACTTTCATTACAGATGTCTTCTGAAAATACAATTCCTTGAGACTAGGAATTAAAATTAAAATTAAAATCTGTGCCATTGTCTGACTCTGTGCCCCATCACATGTAACTCCGTGTTTGTAGCTCTCCTCATATCTCTTGAAAACGGTACCTATGAAGAACTGCATTTTTCCCTGTCCTTCTGTGACATACTAATTATGTGATTGTCTTTTAGTTGGCCTTTGATGGCAGATTCAGAGATAGCTAACAAATGGAGGGCACCAAAGCTCAGCTATCTGCCTGCTGCTACCTCCCTAGAAATGTGGCATCAATGGTGTCTGCTTCCCTAGAACTCTGTCCCCCAAAGCCATGTGAAATCCCAGGACCTGAAGATTTGGGCAGAACTATGGTGTTTAATGACTAAGCACTCCTTTTGCCTCTCTGTGCTAAAGCCTGAGGGAAAACAATTCTATTTACCAACATTTCTTAGACCAGAAATATCCAAAAACCACAGGCAGTAATAGGAGTCACTAACATGAGCCACCTACATAGCTTTACATTTCCTAGTAGTAGATTAAATCAATTTTAATAATATATTTTGTTTAACCCAATATATCTAAAATATTACCATTTTAACACTTAAACAATATCAGGCATTTATTAACATTTTACATGCTTAAATTTGTGCTAAGTCTTTGAAGTCCTGTGTGGATTTTATACTCAGAGCCCCACATTTCACATGCCAGCAGTTGTCATAGTGAAAAGGGTCATTCTGGGCCTGTATTTTAACACTGGCCTTAAATTTGTATTACTGAAAATGAGAAAAAGAATAAAAACTTGAATTAAAGGGAAGAGTGAAGGTTCATCCTCTTGAAGGATTGTTCCTCAGAGTGAAATTTATAAGCCTCCTATGTTAAAATCACTAGGGTGCTTATTAAAAATGCAGAATTCTAGGTTTAATGATAAATTTAGTGAATTATAACTTTCGAGTTTGAAACCTGGGAGTGTGCATTTTCAAAGCTTCTAGGATAATTCTCTTTCACAGTTACCA